TGTAGCATTTTCAATCTTATTCGTGCCCTTTTCCCTTGCCATATAAACTTAGTTGTCATCTGGTCTAAGTCTTTAAACAAGTTTTGATTTTGTAATATCGGAATAGTTTGAAAGAGAAACATCCATCTAGGTAAAATATTCATTTTTATTGTAGCGATTCTTCCCATCATGGAAAGTTGCAGATTTTTCCAATTGTCCAAGTCTTGTTTAGATTTTTGTAGCAATACTTTATAGTTGTCTTCATAGAGTGTACTACATTTATTTGTAACCGTAATTCCTAAATATTTAGTTTTTTTTACAATCTGACATCTTGTAATTTCTTGTAACTTTTCTTTTTGTTTGTCGTCCAAGTTCTTAGTTATAATGTTAGTTTTTTCTATATTTATTTTGAAACCCGCCACAGCTCCATACTCTTCAATCTTGTCCTTCAGGACTCCTGCAGCTTCTATTGGGTTTTCAAGTATTAATGCCACATCATCTGCAAAAGCTAGTATTTTAAAGTGTTCTTTCTTCACTTGAAGTCCAGTTATTTTACTCTCTTTTCTGGCTTCATTCATAACTTCCAGTACCTTAATAAACAAAAGTGGGGATAAAGGGCATCCTTGTCTCGTACCTTTCTGGATCGCAAAATTATTTGAAAGTTCTCCATTGACCATAACTTTCGCCTTTTGTTCACTGTATATTGCTTGAATCATAGTAATAAAGCTTTCTCCTGCATCTAGCATGCGAAGCATCTCCAACATGAAGGTCCAGTTAACATTGTCAAATGCTTTCTCCGCATCAAAAAAGATTATTGTCATCTGCTTCTCATGGTGTAGTTCATAGTATTCTAACACATTCATCAATATTCTCAAGTTATTCCTCATTTGTCTCTTAGGTAAAAATCCCAAATGATCCTTGTTTATTATTTCCACTAATATTTTTTTCAGCCTCTGCGCCAGAATTGATGCAAAAATCTTATAGTCCACATTTAACAGTGATATCGGTCTATAGTTTTTCACTTCCTTCTCATCTAAGTTTTGTTTATGAATCAAAGAGATATTTGCTTCTTTCCACGTATCTGGGATTACGCCTTGTTCTCTCGCCGTGTTACATATATCCTTAATGGTTAATGCAATCTGCTCTTCAAAAATATGGTAAAATTCTATCGGAAGTCCATCTGGTCCCGGAGCTTTCCCTCTATTTTGCCTCTTTATTGCCTCAACCACTTCCATTATTGAGATTTGTTGGTTTAATATTTTTTTCAGAACTCTTGCCTGTCTATTGTCTACTCCAACTGACTGTGGGTCCCCAAGACCTTTGTCGTGTCCTGCTGCCCCAGACCATAACGGCTGCAGACGCAGGGTCTGAAAGCTGCTGAGTTCAACATGCAAAGGAGATGTTTTGCCAATAAGCAAAAATCCTTTCAAGGAACTTCCCATTCCCGCTTTAAATCCTTACTTGATGGGGACAGGATAGTTGTTCAATGATGACCATTTAGAGGACTCTTAAGCTCACAGTGTGTAGGGGGGTGTTCTTTGTTGGCCATAAAATACCTGTAAAACATGAAAGTGGCAAACATGGGGAACGCAGAAGATCTCCCCCCCTAAGCACTGCCCAGATCCAGATGTGCTTTGCTTCCGCAAGCCTTCCAGCCCTGTACAAGCATAAAGTCCACGAAGGGGGGGGCGCTTTAGTTCCATGACAGAACACATGCTTTGTAAGCAGAAGGTCCCAAGTTTAATCCCTCCCTGACCTCTGCCAGCAAGCTGCCAATATGTCTTTTCCATGCCTATGAGATGTGTCCATTTCCCCCCCCCTTTCCCTGGGCTGGCTTAGACTCTTGTGCACATGTCCCCCCCCCTCACCCTCATGCATTCATCTTCAACTGCATTCCTTTCCATGTACGCTAGCAGTGCTTTGAAGGAACCTTATCTGCCAAGGCTACAGGTGGTTCGCGTTTGGAGGCTATTTGCTTAGTCTATAATGAACAGTCGTGTGAGAATAGAATAATTGTTTAATCAGCTACAACCATTGCTTTCTCAGGGTTTGGGCGCGCGATGAGTCCTCAGGACGGGCACGGGAACCATATCTATTGGCCCATGTTATTTTAAACTTGCTTTATTATACCTGTCTCAAGCACCTTGTGGTATTCTGAACAGAGAATCTGTCCTAAGTACTTCATGGCTTCAATAAAATAAAACCTTCTTGCAAGAGTGTATTTCATTGTTTGCTGTGAGTCTGACACCTCTCCACTAAAGGATCTCAACGTGACCACCAGGGAAGGAGCTCCTCTGCCGGAGACCCTGGAATACGCCACTACAAGTCAGAGCAGCCACATCCGTGTTAAAGAAACCAGACACTGGGGGGGGGGCCCTTCATACAGACCCCACACGAGTCACTTATTGAATCTCCTACATTTGTATTCTGCCCCCTCCTCCAAGGGCCCCAGGGCAGTGAACATTTGTCCCCCCTCCCCCATGTCACCCCCACAACAACCCTGTGAGGTAGGCTAGGCTGAGCGAGAGAGGGAGCGGCTAGCCCAAGGACGCTCAGCACACCTGGTGGTCAAATGGGAATTTGAACCCGGGTCTCCCTGGTCCTAGTCCAACAATTTAACCCCTACACCCAGCTAGCGATTTTTTTTTAAGAAAAGGAAGAGTAGGCTGCAATAAATACACTAAACGAAAAGACTGTTTGGGAATGGCCACAAGAGAAATGACCACAGAGATAGGCCAGTTCCCCCGAGCAGGGAAAAGGCGAAATTTACCTGTCCGGATGACTTGTCTTAAGCAGGCCAGGGCCCCGTTGAGACGGGAGCACTCCTCCGCACGGGCCCCGCACCGCTTCATGGTGTCCTTCACTTTCGACTCATTCATTTCCAGTAAGGCATCGAGGGTCAGGTCTGCCGGTATCCGCTGCAGAGAAAATTCTAAGATGACTATGGCTTATTTGTTCTGGAAAGCTTTCGGGATGAGCAATTCCAGTACCCAACACCCCCCTCCTGAATTCTGGCATTTCATGAATCACTCATTGTCGTGGTGACTCGTTCAAAAAAAAAGATCACTAGGTCAGGAATGAGTGGACCACACAACTCAATTAGGAGCATCCAACAGCTGTTTTGGCTAGGGCATTTCAACTTTTTTTTTTAAGAAGTGGGACAAAGAAACCACCAGAAATCCATCTCCCATTGGATGGCTGAGTCACTCTGCTTTTCATAAGGGGGGTGAACAGGCAGATGTGGGAAGTTTTGAGACACAGCTAGTTCGTTCTCCCCAAAAGCAAAGCCAGGCATTGTGTACCAATCTTTCCCAGAAGAACTGATGTGTCAAAACACACACCCTGCCCCAAAATTACATATACAGGCCTCCAAAATACTGCAGGAGTAGATAGTGGCAAAGTAACCCTCAACAAACATGCACACCCTTGGGCCAGCTGCCATCTTTCTTCATGGCACCAACATGGCTTCTCAGGGGTCAAAGGGGGAGTTAAATACCACCCCAAGGGCCCTGGGTAGTCAGCCTGGATGGGTATGCCCACAAACTTTATGATTAATATTCCCCTTTCACATCACATCACATGAACACGTGAAGCTGCCTTGTACGGAACCAGACCCTTGGTCCACCAAAGACAGTATTGTCTACTCAGACTGGCAGCCGCTTTCCAGAGTGTCAGACAGAAGAGATCTTTCACATCACCTGCCACCAGATCCTTTAACCGGAGATGCCAGGGACTGAACTTAGGGCCTTCTACATGCCAGGCTGATGTTCCACCCCTGAGCCACAGCATCTCCCCTCTTGCGTCTTTCCATTACTTATTCCAAGAATAAAGAGGGAGGGGGAGTCATGTGTGCATTCCCCATTTCAGCACTTATATGACTGTCCACATTCCCCACACTCTCTGCCACCAAAATTCCAATGTTCAGCACACAACATTAAGCTGATGGGCCACCTCCAAGGCCTTTGATTTTGAGAGCAGAGGCACAGATCTTCTTGGCTTTTGCATACAACACCAAAAGCAGAGCACACGCACACACAAAAAGAACATTCAGCACAGAGACATGCTGGAAGAGTCTGATAGGAAACCAGGCAGAAAGCCAGATCACAATGCAAGAGAGTCACAAAGTGTTCCGGAATTTAATTTCAACACCAGATGATAGAAGGACATGGTAACATGTACTTGAACAAGACACCTGTCTCTTTTAGGGTGGCTTCCAAAGTGTTTTTAACATGCGCACAAATGAAACCTTAGGTGGATTCACACCTGCATGTAAAATACCAAGGAATCAGACTGGGAACTTCAATGCTCAGGCATCAATCCCCCTTGGATTGCACCAGGTTTATTGACCATAGAAGAAAACTGAGCTGAACTTCCGGTTGATGGCGGACCTCACCTCCCGGACCTCCTGGGGGTGTCTCCGTGCTCTGGCGGATGGAGGGGGTGCGCAGGCTCGTCCCCCCCCCAGGAGCCCGGAGAAGGGCACCTGGCCAAGGAGCTTTGAGGGGGTAGCCTCTTCTCTGGCCAAATGCCAGAGAATCGAGGCTCCCCCTTGCTCCAGTGGTCCGTCCAGCCGAGAGACCTGATGGTACAAGTGAAGCTAGCTGGATCAAGCTCAGGAGATCAGGCGTTTGAAATGATGAATGAAGAGGGGTCGGAAGACCAACTATAAACGTGAGTCAAATGAGATTAAACTAAAAGACACTCCTTACCCGAAGCGGCGAAACGGCAGAAGCGAGTGGTGGGAGGGACGCCTCCCATGCCCATAAATCGTTGAACGAAAGGGGAGGGAGTGGAAGAATAAACAAGAAATTGCCCAGAAGTACTCATTCATCTATACAAATAAGCGCATATTCAGAGACTTTAAAATTTATTGTGAAAGCAAACAAACGAGAAAAAAATGGCGGGGAAGAGGGACAGAGACAAAGAGAAACTTTTAAAAGCAAAACTAGAGTCCCCGAAGGTGCCGGAAACGCCCAGTGAGACGACGAAGGCGATGACAGAGGTCATGCGCCCTCTGCTGGAACAGCTCAATGTCTTTAAAGAACAGATGTCTGTGGTAACAGCGAATATTACTGAACAACAAAAGCAGCTGCAAGTTGTGACAACAAGCATAACTGCTCAACAAACACAAATAACGGATTTGATTCAAGTAATGAAGCAGGATGCTGAGAAAGTAAAGGAAATGGCTGAGACAACGCAGATAGTGAGGAAAAAAGTGCAAAAATTGGAAAAGAAAACTGTATCTTTGGAAGATCAGATGCTGCAAGTGCAAATGGATAAGGCTAATATGGTCCTGCGCTTCCAAGGGGTGCCAGAGAAAAGAGGAGAGAATCTTAAAGAACTTATGAGTGAGCTACTTGCCCCAGTAGCAGATATAAAGGCGGACTTGCTACTCAACGACATGGATGTGGCCTACAGGTCATATTCAGGATACATAAATAAAAATAATCTGCCTGGGGAAATTGTAGTAAGACTCTTGAAGAGGCACGTCAGGGATGCTATCCTGAAAGCAGTTGCTGCGACACCCCTGAAGGTTGGGGAGAACGCTGTCAGAACACTAAAGGATATTCCATTTGAAGTAAGACAACGCAGAAAGAAATACAAAGAACTTGTGTTTTTCCTCCAAACAAACTCAATTGGATATAAATGGCTGTTTCCAGAAGGAGTAATATTCAAGATCAAGAAGAAGAAGGTCAAGATTGACTCTGTTCTTAAAGCTCAAGAGTTTCTAAAGGAGCAGCTGGGAAGGCCAGAGGACGAGAAGTCCAGTGGAGAGCTGGAAACTGGTTCATCTGGTTCCTCTTTGTCTGAGCAGGGAAGAACTGCGGAAGAGAGAGAAGAAACTGCGGAAGAGAGTGAAGAAGAAGTAAACTGCAGAAGAGAGAGAAGAAGAAGTAAAGGCTGAAGGACTCTGAATTGTGCCTTTGAGAACTTTGGTTCTAGGGGATGATGGGGGGCACTGTTATTGGGCAATTAAATGTAACTGGGGATGGTTAAAAGGGTTAAAAGATTGACACAGTTCATAAGAAGTACAAAGATGAAAAGTCTGAATGAAGTATAAAAAGCTAGTTGGAGATCTCCTCTCTTGGGTTTTTAGTTAGTAGTGGGTTCTTTACTTTCTCCCTTATATGTAGCTTTCCCTTTCCCTTTTTTCTGTTCTAGTTTTTGTAGTGTTTAAAAAATTAATAAAAAATCCCCTCCGGGGGCTTAAAAAAAAAAGAAGAAGAAAACTGAGCTGAAGCATTAACTGCACAACCCAGAATCCTCCGGGTCAGGGAATTAGATGGTTCTAGGCCAGGGGTGGCCAAACTGCGGCTCGGGAGCCACACGCGGCTCTTTCACACCTATTGTGCAGCTCTTGGCAGGGCAGCTGGGGAAGCTAAATATCATTAGCGAACAAATATCATTGGACAAATAAATACCATTATCAATATCTGCTTTTACTGCTTTTGGCACTCTCATTTATTGTTAATAACAAGCAAATCTGCATATTTACCAGTAAAAACAAGTAAAATTTCTTCATGTCTTGCGGCTTTCAAGCATCTGACGTTTATTCTATGTGGCTCTTACGTCAAGCAAGTTTGGCCACCCCTGTTCTAGACAGTGTTACCCCACAGAGAGCCCTGGGTCATCAGACATGCTTTGAGGACCACCACCACCCCCCGCCATGCCTTAGCTTCTCAGGACTTTGTGGAAGGACCAGGGTTTGATGGTAAAGATGAGAAATTAAGCTCAAGCTATGTTCCATCAGCTTCAGACACACCCTGAACACACGTCCGTACTTCGGCTTCCTGAGAACTCATCACAGTGCAGGCCAGTATCAACCCTCGAGGTTTGAAAGTTAATAAACGAACCCTCCAGGGCCATCCAGGGTTCTGCCTCACAATGCAGACGTCTCTGGAAACCCAATCAAGAGTATGCCCCAAGCCATCAACCCATCCCATGGCCTTTGCCAACAAGTCATCAGTAGAAAAGAGCAAGAGCCCAGGAGCACCTTAAAGACTAACAAAATTTATGGCAGGGGAGGAGCTTTCATGAGTCACTGCTCACTTCTTCAGATACAGCAGGAATACATTCTAGAACCATTCTGGCTGTATCTGATGAAGTGAGCAGTGACTCACCAATGCTCCTCCCCTGCCAGAAATTTTGTTAGTCTTGAAGGTGCTCCTGGACTCTTGCTCTTTTCTGCTGCTACGGACAGCCTAACATAGTCAGGTACCACCTTGATCTATTACTCAGTTAATTCAATCATCCCAACCGGATCTATCTCACCTTCTCCTGCACCTGGTACTTTCTTTCCACCTGCCTCTTGCACAAAGAAAAATTTGAATCCGCCAGCAGGAGCCAGGACTCTAACGTTCCTCCCAAGTCACAGCACATCTCCAAATTCCCCCTATCGCAGGCAGAATTTGGGAATCTGGCCAATGACAAAGATCCAAAAGTACAACCAATAGGATTTGGTCCCAAAAGTAAAGATGGCATCCTGGGGGCATTATAGAGATTTATAAAATTATGCCTGGGGCAGAGAAAGTGGACGGAGAGAACCTTTTGCCACTCCAGCAAAATACTGAAACTCAAGGGCACCCTACAAAGTCAACGGGCAACAGATTCAGGACTGATAAAAAAGAAGCACTTCTTGCCTCAACAAGTGCCCTGCCTCTGTGTCTTGTAGGACAACTGGTTGGCCCCTGTGTGAGACGGGAGGCTGGGCTTGATGGACCCTCACTGGTGTGATCCAGCAGGGCTCTTCTGATGTTCTTACTGGCTCATTTCTCCAGCCCATTCTGCCTCTACAGAACAAGGACTTGTGGTGTAAAAGTTCAGCCTCCTCCCCAACAGTGGGCAGAGACCTTCCCTTTCTAATCAGACCCCCTCCCCTCAATACTTTAAAACTTCTCTAACTACACGGAGGCTGCTG